TATTTTTCACTTGAGCCCCTCCCTGGAAAAAGTTCTTCAACATTCATCCCTGCCTCCCTGAGATGCCACCACATCATCAGTTGTGTCCCTGTGGCCCCAAGAGACTGAAGACTTCCCCCCCCCAATGGATCATGGGGGGGGGGGGGGGGGAAGCCAAATGTGAGGCAGGCAAGATATCTTTGATCTCCAAGCCAGGCAGGGACAGAAGACCAAGTTTCTTCAAAGCCTTATTCTTCTTCCTGCTCTGGAAGTTCTGCACTGCCTGTCAGTCATTGGTGCTACTTTATTCTGTGGTCTCCAGGGACTACCATAATTGATAGTAGACCAGCTTGCACCCATAGCCTCTGATGGTGAGATTCCTGGCTGTTACTCTAGAACAGACCCAGGGAATCCTTCTGGGCCAAGGGTCATGTACGGCTTCTGAGAGCCTGTGGTGGGCATGCTCAGAAATGGCTACCAAGGGAAACATGCCTGGCTCACAAATGGCATGGCGAATCACAAAACACCCATTCATCAGAAGGCGAATGGGCTCATTCCCGCCACCAGATGCTGCCTACGATTCCAGTATGACTTTGGGGGCCCACAGACATTCCTCCAAAACAATATAGATGGGGTTTTGTTAGCTTTACAGCATGTCAGCTGCTGTCTGCTTTTTAAATTAAAATAACCTTTAAACACTTCTAGTGAATGGGGAGTCTGATGGGCACCAAGGAAGGCATCCTACCCCTTTTATGCCACTGCTCTAGAAGGCCACGACGTTAAGGGCGAGGATGACGTGTGCTTTGATTTCCTGATATCTGTCCCAGAGTGACACCCACCCCTTCCTCCCTGCTCTCCCCTCCCCTCCCCTCCCCTCCCTCGGCAGTGATTAGCATCCAGAGAGAGCCGGTTTCTGCTGTGTCCAGTGACATCAATTTCCCCATGAAGGGCCGTCGGGGAATGAAAGATTGGGCCCGCCACTCCGAAGACAAGATCTTCATTCCCAAAGAAGTGCTGAATCTCTCCTCATCTGGTACGTGGCCTCCACAAGGGGCAGACTCATGGCTGGCAGGTGGGGGTGGGAGGGAAAGGAGGCCCAGGAACAGTGGTTAGAGCAGGGGTGGGCAGCCTGAAGAAGACATGTGGCCCAGATGCCCTTCTGCCCCTGAATTAGGAGACAAGGGGCCTTTCTGAAGTACGCTGGGCTTTAGAAAAGGTATCCATCAGACTGGCTAGACATTGCCCCATTTTTGCTCAGGCCCTGCTGACATTTTGAGGGTGGTCCCTAGCAGATCCATCAAAGGCTAACTGCAAGTTGCATCGTAAAAAAAAGAGCTTTTCTTTAGATCTGAGCCTTCTGCACATTTCTCTTAAGAATAGGAGAAAAGGACAGTTCGCCCTCTGGAAAACAGCTTTGGCCTGATAGAGACTCATAGAAGTGATCTGTGCAAGATCAGCAAAGTAGAATAATAATGAAGGAATAACGCTTTTCTCAAGAAAGGGAAGAGGGAATTGTGAAGTGCTCAGTTCAATGTTTTTAATCCATTCTTTACAGATAAATTGGAAAGAGTTCAGAACATTTTAGATTTATTTTCTTAGACATGACTGCCAAATGCCAGTTTTTAAAGCCAGATTCTTTTGTCTCTGACATTACTGCTAATCTGTACTTACAGACATTTTTATATAGGCTGGATTGAGGTGTTGTGTTGTTATTATTATTATAACTGACTCACAGAGTTGGATATGAAATTTCTAATTTTGATTTGGCATTCCAGTTGCCACCTCTGTCTCCATTATTGTGAAAGTCAAAACTCTTTCTCCAGATTTCAAATCAGAAGTGGAAATGTGAGGCTTAGATATTTATAGGCCCATTTATACTTCATGGATGCATATGTTATAAAGCTGAAATGAATGAATATGGCCAACCTGCCATATGCTTGCATTTCCACTCAGAAACCAGGAAAATTATGCCATAAGAAAAGATATTTTAAATACATTACTGAGTGAGCTGTAAAGACTTGGTTTGGTCTTATGGTCTATGCTGGCTTGATTCCTGCAGATGCAGTTTGCTTTGGTCTTTCACATCAGCATTGGCCCCAGAAAGGATTGTCCAGGCAGACATTCAACAGGTGCAGTTTCCCCAGGCACATGATATGGGCAATCCTACAGCTGCAGAACTTTGTCCCCACTTCCTTCTTTGTTCAGTACATAAATAACGTAGTATATCTTTGAAACCTTATGAATCTGTTCATTCTGGCAATTGTATTTTTGGGGTCTTCTCATTGCTTGGGGCCTTGTTTAAGACCACAAAGTCCTGACTTCCTACCCCACACAGCCATAGACAGTCCCTTAACTGCTGTGTTAATCGGTGCGGCTCTTTTCCTTCTTTCTCCCTCTTTCTGCAGAAACAGATGACTCAGCTTATTTCGTCATTGGCGCCATCCTGTATCGCACCTTGGGACTAATTCTGCCCCCTCCTAGGTGAGCGGATCTACCGAACAGCTTGTGAAAAGCAGGACTGTGAGGCAATGTGCTTGCAGCCTCAGGGTTTGTCTCTGTGCAGATGTGGTGTGTTTGTATTCTAAATGCATCCCCATCCAAGTGATCTTGCAAATTTCATCAACAGAAGTCCTCTCGCGGTCATGTCCAAAGTTCTCACGGTGACGGTGAAGCCACCAACGAAGGCCATGGAACCTTTGATTACGGTGGAGTTGTCTCATATTATCAATGTAAGTGTGGGGGCTCTTGGTACCTTAGCCTATGGGGTGGGTAGAGATCAGCGTGGTCCAGCCCAGTATGGTTAGTAGACAAGCTCTTGACTTACACATCCCATTCCTTCACTTATCACCCCCCCAGATTTTTGTGCTACAAAATAACTGCTATATGGATGGAAAGTGAGTAGCCGAGCCAGGACAAAACCTGATATTGGTAAAGAGAGAGCCCTGGATGCAGAGGGACAGATCTAGCATCAGTCCCTTTTGTTTTCTGAGAACATAGTCTGGACAACCGTCTATAATCTTGGGTTTTGACATTGAAATGAGACTTTGATTTAAAGGGAGGGTGGATTTCCCTAATGAGCAGCATAAGAGGATAACAGTCAACAAACATCTGTAGAATCAAAAGTTGCAGAGAGAAAGTATCAGAAAAATAAACAGAATTGGTAGATATCTGAACCATTTTTATTTTTACTCCTTAAAAACTGCTGGAGAAAAAAAAATCAGGAGTTTTTCTGCTTTAGTTAGATCAGTTTGAAGATTTCACCCCATCCGCTCTAATTAAGAGGGAAAGGGAAGAAATTCTCCCTTGATGTAATTATCTGTATAATTTATGCTTAATTTCTGCGCTGCCTTTATGCAATACTCTAACAGTGTCTAACAATGAATCTAGGAAACGACAAATGTTTTGAAGTGCATTGAATACCTTAGGCAGCCTTTGAACTCTTTACTGAAATCCCATTTGAGGGAGGAAAACCCACTTATCGTAATTAGACATTAATATCAGAAGATGGAAGGATGGATGGATGGATGGATGGATGGATGGATGGATGGATGGATGGATGGATGGATGGAAGGAAGGATGGAAGGATGGATGGATGGATGGATGGATGGATGGATGGATGGATGGATGGATGCATGGATGGATGGATTTTCTAGGTGTACCATGTCTTGTTCCACATTCTGCTTTCAACTAATCACCTTTTTCTGCTTCTCTTCCAGGGCACCTCACATCCACAGTGTGTGACCTGGGAATACACTAAAGTGTGAGTATATTTCATCTTGCTGAGTTAAATGGATTGTGTAAGAGGCCACTGTGCTGATGATGGGCAAACATGCATGTATGAAACTTCAGTCAATACCCTACTTTCCTACTCAAGGCACTTAACAAAAATGAAAGCACAAAACACAGAATCAGAAGTTTCAAAACATAAGCTAAACTAATTCTAAAGTTAGTCGGTTGGCTATTCAAGTGATTGGTTGAGTGATGGTGATGGTTGGAGCTCTTTGGATGCCTCCAGATGTCCTATCCCAGGCTTGCAAGCTTATCCCACTCCTCGATCCATTTTTTTTGGTCCCTCATTTCCATCCTCCCATAGACTGGATATCCTTCTAATGCTGGAAGAGGAGCTCCCAGGTGGAGAAGGAAGTCTTGCCATTCTCTCTTTTGCTCTGCAATCCTGTAGATAATGTGAGGGTGGCTAATTATACTCTTAATCTACTCCCAGTATGAGGTTATAGGAGGACAGCTGTTAGTCTACAGTGGCAAAAAATCAGAAATCTGGTAGCACCTTTTCTGACTAATCACTTTATTAAAAATCATAAGCTTTCCTGAGCTGTAGCTCAGTTCATCAGATGCAAAGAGTGGCAAGGCCAGTATTTCTCAGCCTTGGCAACTTGAAGATGTGTGGACTTCAACTCCCAGAATTTCCCCCCCCCCCAATTTAAATCCTAGCCCAGTGTTTCTCAGCCTTGGCAATTTGAAGATGTGTGGACTTCAACTCCCCGAATTTCCCCCCCCCCCCAGCGCCGCGGGGGGGTTTGTGGTGTTTAAGTGTAAAACCATCTCAGTGTCCCACG